CAACGGCCTTGGAGATAAGACCAAACAGCAACGCGTTCTAGACTGGTCCAGACAAGCAGCTGATATCATAGTACTCTCAGACACTAGGATAGCCTCAGACCACCCTCTCTGGGCTCATCCCACTTACAGTTTAGCAGCCGCTACTTCACCTAGATCGAAGGCTGGCGGTGTAGCTCTGCTCTGTAGATCGCAACTCCTAAGCTTTAGCAACGTGCTAGCTCATCCCTCGGGTAGATTAGTCGCTGCAGATATCCACGGCCTCGGTCTCCATCTTACAGCCATAGCTTGTTATTTCCCAGCAAACCCGACCTCACGCGCTGTCTTCATCCGCAATACTCTCGGTCCGGTAGTCGATCTGGTCCCACCATCCAATCACCTGCTCATCATGGGGGATCTTAACATCATAGAAGACCCAGTATTAGATAAGTCATCGCGTTTAGGTTCATCTGCTGAAAACAACAGGCTATTCAATCGCTGCAGCACTTTCCAGCTATCAGGTTCAGCTCTCAAAACCGCAATGCTGGTGAATCGTCGTACACTTCGCAAAAAAGGCTTGAAAACCTACTTATATAAAAAAACACTTTTAAGCATGCACACTAGAAGACATTTAATAAATCATTAAAAAAAAAAAACCAAAAAAGTCTATATCCGCACTCCAAAATCTGCACCTGTATGAAGTGGCACGTCACCATTAAGTTAGGACAGCGATGCAAACTTCATGGAAGATATGTTTGACATATGGGAAATAACTGGGGGGAAGAGAGTTATGAACTTATCGTCTGAGAGTGGGCGGACCGAGGTAGGGTGGATACGGGCGAAGTGACCCGCACAAAGCTCGAGGAAGATCAGGAAACATTTATTGTTTGGGCCACCGAACGGTCCACGGTAAGGTCGAAGGATGAAGCAGCTGAAGACTAGAGATTTAAGAGGCGATGCTCTCTCTCGAAGAGGCACCAAAGTACCGAAGGGCGCATTGGGTAGAACGGACGAGAGATTGCTCCGAGTCCCCTATGTGTATGTAGAGATTTTTTTTTTTTTTTTTTTTTTTTTTTTTTGAACAAGGCTGAAGCGAGACCGCGTTCCTTGAGGCGAACGAACAATAGGAAATTGACAACGGCAACCTCTAAGTGTGTTAGGGTGAGAGCAGGAACACATTGGAATCTTGCTTCGTTAACTGACGAAGCACTCTAGGTTGGGGTATTCTATGCCCATGACTATTAATGTGGTTTGCGGCTGCCACACTAGCGCCGAACGGCGGCTGTCACGCTGAGCGCCAAACGGCGCCGTCGCTAAGACCTAACAGTGTTATACTATGACCTATGAACGGTGCAGAATGGAGAAGCTATGGCAGCAAGGAGTGCAGGACGGATCGGGAGAAGGAGACATGGAAAACGAGTGGAATGTGCAACGAAGGTCGAGAACTTTCGCTGTTGGAAATGGGCCAACCACAAACCACCAAATTCGGCGTAACTTTGGTTCGCTGGATTCGGTGTCAGTTTCAGTTGGTTCGCTGGTTTCGGTTTCAAGTTTGATTACCCATGCGGTTTCGCATGGGACGCAATATAAGACGCAGTGCATGCGTTACACGAGTCCCACAATGGTAATGACAGCGTGACTTGGCGAGTTTCGTTGACGAAAGGCGAATTTTGAAGGCATAGGAAATAGCATCGGTGAAGCGAGCTCTGGTTCCTCGGTGAACATTGACAATTCCCAGCTGCAAACACTCTTGGAGGCTCTGGTGCAAGGGCAAACGGTGGCCAAGCTTACTATAGGCTTGAGCGAAGCTCAACGCTTCAACAGCAGCGACTACGACACGTGGAAATTGAAGTTCATGCGGCGTGCATGCGAGGTGGGTCTCTGGCGGCTCTACCACAGCAGGGGAGGAAGACGCACCTCCACCTAAAACGACTATTGAACTAGTCAAGGCAGCATACCTGAAACAGAGTGAGCAATCGTATTTTCAGTGTCAAAATGTTGTATAGCTTATATTGTGTAGGCTATAGTGGGGTAGCCCATACGGGGTACAACCCAATTAGGGTTAGTACTTGTACCCAACTCTTTGCTAGTTCATTCATCCTCGTTCATTCTCTTGACATGGTATCAGAGTGAAGGTCTTGGGTTCGAATCCCAGTGTGTGCACATCGGGCATCCCAGTGCGGGGGGGTGTCAGAGGTCCACTGGAGATCCCCGATTGATCCTAGGGAAGGGGTTATGGGCGCACTGACCTGCTACTTAACAAGCCCTTTTATACCAGTGGTCTAGTGACTGGGATTCTGACATGGTCCTCCGCTAGGACCGGTTTTTTTTCCTTGGGCCCACCACTACACTGCCCTTAGCGACCCTCGTGTCGCCCCTTGGCCCATCGCCCCTAGGCCCGTTGCCCCTAGCTCGGCCCGTAGGCCCTAGCCAGCGCGCCCCTAGCTCGGCCTGTCGCCTCTAGCCCGGCCCGTCGCCCCTAGCCTACGCGCCCGGCCCGTCGCCCCTAGCCATCGCGCGCCCGGCCCGTCGCCCCTAGCCTACGCGCGCGGCCCGTCGCCCCTAGCCTACGCGCGCCCGGCCCGTCGCCCCTAGCCTACGCGCGCCCGGCCCGTCGTCCCTAGCCTACGCGCCCGGCCCGTCGCCCCTAGCCTACTCGCGCCCAGCCCGTCACCCCTAGCTACGAGCGCCCGGCCCATCGCCCCTAGCCTACGCGCGCCCGGCCCGTCACCCCTAGCCTACGCGCCCGGCCCGTCGACCCCTAGCCCGCGCGCCCTGGCCCGTCTCCCCTAGCCTACGCGCCCGGCCCGTCGACCCCTAGCCCGCGCGCCCCAGCCCGTCGACTCCTAGCCCTCGCGCCCGGCCCCGTCGGCCCTAGCCAGCGAGCGCCCCTGCCCCGTCGGCCCCTAGCCCGCGTGCCCCGACCCAGTCGACCCTAGCCCACGCGCCCCAGCCCAATCGCCCTTAGGCCCCCGAGCCCGTTGCCCCTCAGCCCCTCCGACCCGTTGCCCCTTGGCCCCGCGGCCCATTACCCCTGGCCTCCCGGCCCCTTGGCCCCTCTGCTGCTGTTGCTACTGCTATTGCTACGGCTGCTACTGCTGCTGCTGCTTCTGCTGCTACTACTGCTCCTGCGTGCTGCGCCACTATGGCTTCGCTTCGAGTTCTCGCGTTCGATCATGAGGGCAGACCGATTCAGTTTGACACGTGGCTCGACGACCTGCAGCTATACCTACTGAGCGATTCTAAGGACAGTGTTTTGCTGTTTGACCTCGCGTCAGGCGCCGCTCCTGCCCCTCCCGCCACAGCTGACAGTGCGACTCGCTCACAGTGGCTTACTCGCGATGCTGCTGCACGCTTAGCCATTCGCAACCACCTGCTTCCACCTACCTCGCTGATGCTCCCCTCTCTCCTCACCTCTCAGGCATTCATAGGAGGTGCTCTCAAGCCTAACCACATGTTGACATCTCATACCCAACCCCCCTTCCATTCGTGAACCATGTCCTACAATTCTGAATGTCATTTTATGTCCTTGTATTGTATTGATCGATGAAGACTTCGCTCGCGTTCCTGCTGGTGTGGACCTCGTTGCGACAAGGGACGCTATGATAATTCCAGTCACAAACTAAGGTGCATTTTTATTCTCTGGGTGCCTCATGCTATTCTCCATGCATTCACTCACATATAATTCATGTTTCTTTCTTGTTCAAATCATTGTTATACTGCTCTAAGTCAGATTTCCTGCTGCAGCAATGTCCTTCTGCTGCTCACAGCAGTTGCCTTCTGCTAAGGCGCCTGCTGCAGCAATGTCCTTCTACTGCTCGTGGCAAGACAATGTCCTTTTGAGGCACCACAAAGTCAATTCTGTCCCTCCCCACTCCCCCGCCTCCCCTTTCTCCCCCAACCAGCTGCCTGTGGATTAGGTGATCGACCACTTGGTGCAAGTGGATGCAAGTGTACTCAACGCGCCGAGCCTTCTTAAGCACCTCAAAATTGGTTCTGTCCTTCCCCTTCGTCCCCCTTCCTTCCCCTCCCCTCCTTCCCCCAACTGCTGGTAGATTTTGTGATTGACCACTCGGTGCAGTGGACTACACGGGGGCGTCAAACGTGCCGAGCCTTTCTGAAGTGACTCAGAGCCGGTTCTGTCCCTTACCCCCCTTCCCTTCCTCTCCTCCCCCTTCCTCCCCCTCCCCTCCTTACCACATGTGCCGGCAAATTTGGTGATTGACCAATCGGTGCAGATGACTACGCGGAGGCGTCGAACGTGCCGAGCCTTTCTAAAGTGACTCAGAGCCGGTTTTGTCCCTTACCCCTCTTCCCTTCCCCTCCTCCTCTCTCCTCCCCCTCCCCTCCTTCCCACCAGCCGCTGGTGGATCTGGTGATCAACCACCCGGTGCAGGCGGATTACGCGGAGGCGTCCAACGAAGTAGGCCTCAACAAGGAGCGCGAGGTCGAGCGCAACAACGAGTGGCTCGCTCTCCTTGATTCAAGGTCGACGGCCACCAGAGAGATTCTTGTGGTCCCCTTTGGCGCTGGCATCGTACACCAAGTCAGTTTTTTGGTATTGCCTGAGGGTCTCAGCGTTAAAGCCTACTTTTGGAGCGTCTTACTCCCATGCAACAGAAAAACGCCATGATATATTGAGTTGAGATAGAAGTTTCCACATTGTACATGAAGGTGAATCAGTTTACCTGGTGGGGGTGGTGATGTACAGTTAACGGGCTGCTCCACCCCGACAGCCTCATAAGCATTGACTCTTAAGACAACTCTGTTATGTCCTTGTTATGTCCCAAATGAAGATGGATCAGGAGTACCTGGCGCGGGTGGTGATGGAGGCCAACGGCCTGCTCTACCCTAACAGCGTCGGCGACAACGGTCTCTGTACCACCTTGATCCATGGTCTCGGCATCACTAGCTGGGGCGAGAGCTGGTCTAGAGCCGAAAAAGCCGTGCGCGGGAAGGTCATAAGCATGGTCCTCCCCCAATTTGTGGGCGTCAAACTCACGGGAAAGCTTCCAGCGGGAGCCATGGCCACGGACTTAGCACTGATGTGCATGAAAGAGCTATCGAGCATGCTGAATACATTCGTGGAGTTTTATGGCGAGGGGACGCGGGAGCTGTCTGTGGCGGACAGGGCGACAGTTGCAAACATGTTGTCGGAGTTTGGGGCGACCATGGGGTTCTTTCCGGTGGACTCGGTGATGCTGCAGCACCTGAGGGTCACGGTGTCAGAGGTCCACTGGTGATCCCCGATTGGTCCTAGAGAAGGGTTACAGGCTCGTTGTCCTGGGGGGTTATGGGCGCACTGACCCGCTACTGAACAAGCTCTTTTATCCCAATGGTCTAGTGGTTGGGATTCTGACACACGGGGCACGATGAGGCAAAGCTGAAGCAGGTTGAGGCGTACATGCGTGCCAACCAACTGTTCATGGACCACGCCACGGTGAGTTGGTTGCTACTATGCTACCTGGTGTGCTACCACCTGTTCATGGACCATGCCATTGGCTTTCGCATGGTAACGAATGTGGTGTGTTTTGATTTGACTAAATGCACACATGTGCACGAGCCACGTGCAAGCACTTGTTTTTTCTTGCGCTGCATCTTGCTACTGTAGAGCCCTACGTCTGGCTTCTCATACATATGCTCCCTTCTATTATTGCCTTGTTGTCCGTTTCACCCCTAGGTTGGAGAGGCGGAGGCCAAGCCCAAGCATTCCTCCTACCTCCAACTGGAACATCCGATCGTGGAGCCCTGTGTATGCGGGCCATGCATCTCTGGGCCCTGCGTCTCCAGACCCTACTGGTAAGCGAGCAATAATATGCCCCAAGCCGTTGTTCCTCTATCTCTCTGTTCCTCCTCCAGCTGCTTTCCTTCTCCAGTTCTCCCCTCCCCCACACCCCTCAAACCCCCCTTCCTCCGTCCTTCTCTCATTGCCTCTGCGAGAGGAGCCTCTGCGCGGTCAAGGCGAAGGCTCTGGCGTCAGCAGAGCCGAAGGAGCGCCATAGGCCGAACAGACGTGAGAGGAGACGCAGGAGGACGACGCGGGGGATGAGGATGACGAGCTGGAGCCTGTCTACGAACAGGCAAGCAAGAATCATCACGTCCAGGTTGGAGCCAAAGAGGAAGAATCCGCGCCGACCAATGAAACCACCGATTCGCACGAGGCGGCAGGAGAGGAAGAGGGTGGAGCGCGCGATGAGCCATGCGAAGGTCTCGACCGGCGGGGAGGACGCCCATCACGCAACGCGCCGCAGCAGGAGCGCCAGAGCAGGGAAAAAGACGCGCGCGAGTGGCACATGCAGGGATCGCGCGGAGGGAGAGAAGCCGAACGATCGCGGACGCCAAAAGGGGAGCGGCTGTGGGCAGGGCAGCAAGATGGAGAGGCGTGCTCGCCCAGCGGACCTCAGCCAAGAGCGGAGCGGTTTGACGATAGGATGCAGAGTGAAGGCCATGTGGCTACACCCTTTCCCTCTGGGTTCAAGTATGTGAAGGGACCAGAGGAGGAGAGCGTTGGTGAAGAGGAGAGGCGCCGTTTTCACTCGTTGGTGGGCAGCCTCATGTACGCGGCGATAAACACCCGACCGGATGTCGCCTTTGCAACCGGACAGTTGGCTAGGGTTGTTAAATGCCCTAATGAGGAGCAGGTAGCTGCTGGAATGAGGGTGGCCAAGTATCTTGGCCAAACACCGATCGTTGGGCTGCAATACTCGGCGGCGGCGCAAAGGCGCCAAAAGGGCGCGAATGGTGTTGAACCCGGGCGTTTGTTCCTCACCGCATTCTCGGATGCTTCTTATGCATCGGAACCAGAGGACATTACAAGTGTTGGAGGGCTTATTTGCTGTGTTGGTGGAGGCCCAACTGCTTGGGAGAGCAAGAAGCAGGTGGATCAAGCATTGAGCTCGGTGGAGTCCGAGTACATGGCACTCTTCCGTGCCGTACGGGAGATTGTGTGGCAGCGGCGTTTGTTGGCTGAATTGGGGGAGGAGCAGCAAGGACCTACCCCACTCTACTGTGACAGCCAGGGTGCCATTGCTCTTGCCAAGAACCCTGTGTTGCATGGCCTCACGAAGCACATGAGGGTGAAGTGGCATTGGACGAGGAGCATGGTGGCCGCGGGTGAAGTTGAGTTGCGCTACGTAAAGACGACGGGGCAGCCAGCTGACATGATGACCAACAGGCTGGTGGAGCAGCAGCATTGGAAGTGTTGCAAGCTGGCTGGGATGGCTCTGAACTGAGAGAGCAAGTTCCTAAGGCCAACAATCCGAGGGGGGGTTTGTTGGTGCAACCCTACGGTTTGCATTCGGCTTGTTGTCCGTATGCGTGCATGCGTGTGTGCATGGAATGGTATGAGGGCATGAGATAATATATATATTTCATGCTTATAATAGTGTGTGAAGGATGAGGCATGGTTTTGAATGTGTGTGTCGAGTCAATAGCGAGTTATCGCTAGTCGCGTGTCACGTCGTTGTTTGCGTGTCGTGTGCGGTTTTCTATTTTGTCGTGTGTGGAACGTTCGGCGTGTCGCAGGTGTGCACAGCAGAATTCCAAGAACTGAAGGAAGAATTTATCTTGAAGAACCAGAGCATTGGTTCTGTTAGAATCCTAGCGTGACTTAGGAGCCATGGCTAGTGAGTGTCGAGAGAGTTGAGTGTCGAGAGAATTGGAAAGGATCTGTCGAGAGGAATGATTTCACTAGCAAGAGTTGGGATACAAATACAAAACCCTAAATTGGGTTGTACTCACTACAGAGTACCCCACTGCAGGCTAGACAGCAAATACATTCTGACACACCTCCATAGTCAAAGTGGGTATAATCAGCAGAGCAAGCAGTCATAGAGCAGGTTCACAAGTACAAGCAAAGCTAGAGGCATACACAAAGGGCAAGTGAGGAGGAGGCTGGACTGTGAGAGGAGAGGAGATAGGAGGCGACTGCTGATGCTGCAGACACACGGGCAACAGGAGAGGCGCGCACTGTGGCTACCAGAGCTGTTTCCCCGGACTACAGGAGTAACTGGCTCTGCGGCTAACTCTGAGCGGCAGGAGCAACGGACCCACAGGCGACAGGCGCAGCAGGCTCTCTGAGCTACCAGAAGTAGAGCCCCGGACTACAGGTGCTGCGGACGACAAGACGGCAGCCTCCGCTCAACCTCCCCCAACTGTCCCACCCCCCTTTCACACACCCCTTGCTGCACCCCTAGTTCCACTCCCACTTCACCCCCCTAGCACCACTCCCTCGGCTCCCACACACCCACCCCCCTCAGTGGCAGCTGCAGCAGTGGGAGATGGAGGAGGAGGAGGAGCAGGGGACGGTTCACACACCCGCCACCCCCATACCCTCCCCCCACTGCTGCACCTGCAGCAGGGGATGGAGGAGAAGGGGGGGGGGGGGGGGCGGGGTGCTGGTGCTGCAGCAAGGGCTGTAGCGGCAACAGCAAGGGCTGTAGCGGCAGCAGCAGGGCAGCAGGGCAGCAGGCCAGCAGAGCGCGTGGCGCACAGCAGGGCTGCAGGACGCGCGGGGCGCGCAGGGCACGCAGGGCAGCAGGTCAGCAAGGCGCGCGGGGCACGCATGGCTGCAGGGTGCGCGGGGCGCACAGGGCAGCAGGGCAGCAGGGCGCACAGGGCTGCATGGCAGCAGGGCGCACAGGGCTGCAGGGCAGCAGGGCGCGCGGGGCGCGCAGGGCTGCAGGGCGCGCAGGGCAGCAGGACAGCAGGGCGCGCGGGGCGTGCAGGGCTGCAGGGCACTCGGGGCGCACAGGGCAGCAGGGTAGCAGGGCGCACAGGGCTGCAGGGCAGCAGGGCGCACAGGGCAGCAGGACAGCAGGGCGCGCGGGGCACGCAGGGCTGCAGGGCGCGCAGGGCAGCAGGACAGCAGGGCGCGCGGGGCGCGCAGGGCTGCAGGGCGCTCGGGGCGCATAGGGCAGCAGGGCAGCAGGGCGCACAGGGCTGCAGAGAAGCAGGGCGCACAGGGCAGCAGGACAGCAGGGCGCGCGGGGCGCGCAGGGCTGCAGGGCGCTCGGGGCGCACAGTGCAGCAGGGCAGCAGGGCGCACAGGGCGCACAGGGCAGCAGGGCACACAGGGCAGCAGGACAGCAGGGCGCGCGGGGCGCGCAGGGCTGCAGGGCGCGCGGGGCGCACAGGGCAGCAGGGCAACAGGGCGCACAGGGCTGCAGGGCAGCAGGGCGCGCGGGGCGCAGTAGGGCTGCAGAGCGCGCGGGGCGCACAGGGCAGCAGGGCGCGCAGGGTACACAGGGCAGCAGGGAGAGAGAGAGGAGAAAGGGGGGGGGGGGGGCTGATGCTGCAAATCCCCTCCCCCCCACTGTTGCTCCACTATCCGTCACCCCCCAAGGATGAAGGAGAAGGGGGGGGACGGGGGGGGGTTGGTGCTGCAGGTCCCCTCCCCCCCACTGCTGCACCCGCAGCAGGGGGAGGTAGGAGAAGGGGGGGGCGGGGGGGGGCTGGTGCTGCAGATCCCCTCCCCCCCACTGCTGCTCCACAATCCTTCACCCCTCAGGGATGGAGGAGAAAGGGGGGGCGGGGGGGGCTGGTGCTGGGCTAGGTACGGGCCGGGCGCGGGCTAGGTACGGGCTGGGCGCGGGCTAGGTACGGAGCCGGGCGCTGGGCAGGTACGGAGCCGGGCGCTGGGAAGGTACGGGGCCGGGCGCCGGCTAGGTAGGGGGCCGGGCGCTGGGCTAGGTACGGGCCGGGCGCGGGCGAGGTACAGGGCCAGGCGCAGACTAGGTACGTGTGAGAGTACGCCGACGTTCGACATATTTCTCATTTCCATATTTTTACTCCATCTTATTCTCCTTATTTTCCTCTCTCATTTGCACTTTATTTCACCTCAATCGGACTACTATTCTATTTTCTAGAGCTTTCCGATTATTTCACTTATTTGGTATTTTCGGCACCGACATTTACATTATACGGCACCGACAACTCCGACAATGGTGTACAAGGCGTAATCTCGCCATAATCCGAAGTGCCAATGGGCTTGCGTGCTTATGCGCACTTGTGATTTTCTATTCTAGAAGAGCGCGTTCCCGAAGGTTCGGATTATCTGTTGTTTCTATGTATTTCAGAGTATAAATAGCCTTGTAATCACCTTTAGTGCAACATTATCGAGTGGAAATTCGATCCTGTGACACTTGGTAATCAGAGCCGTTTTCACTCGCGGAGTTTCAGCTAAGCAACGCGCTCAAGAAATTCCTGCTTCGAAAAACCGCCGGGGGCGACGAATTCGGCGCCGACGTTAGTAAGCACCAGATTCCAAGTTTTTTGAATAACCCACCTCGCGCGTTTTTTGAACAGGATCGTGAGTTCGATTGTTGGCAAAAACGTTTGCGATACAGGGACGACAATTGCGAATTGTCGGGACCTATATCGAGCGGTGCAGAAGTAGCGAGACCAACGCGCGACGGATCGAACGACTTCGGGTGAAAGCGCGCGTCATGGCGAAAATTGCGACAGAAGCAGAATCGATCGTGACTTCGCAGCAGTCGCGAAAATTTCCCAAGGCCTTCGAGCCCCCAACACCTTTGATGGGGAGATCGACGCTAGGCACTGGCTTTTGGCGATCGAAATTTATTTCGCCGCCATTGGATGGACAGCACCAGCACTCGACAGAAACAGAATTAATTTTGCAGCAACACTACTGCGCGGACCAGCAATTGAATGGATAAGCGGAAGCGGTTTATTAAACCAAGGTGAAGCGACGTGGCAGCAGTTCCGAGAGCGATTACTACAACGTTTTGAGCCGATTAATGCAGCGTTTATCGCCCGTGACAAAATACATCGTCATCGACAAATCGGGAGCGTCGCGGACTACACACAACAAATGGAGGAGTTGTTCAACCGCATCCCCGACGTCACAGTAGGCGAAAAAATTAGAGCATTCATCGCGGGGCTGGAAAAAGAAGCACGACAACATGTTGCGGCCGCAAATTAGAACAGCTACAACGACGTCGTTTCGGCAGCGGAACGTTTCGACGTAACCACGATCGGAACACGACGACTTCATGGACGAGCTAGACGACATGGAGGATGCTTGGCTAACCCCACGTACGCCGACCCGATAGAACTCGATCGAATCGACGCGAAGGCAAGACCAAAGAAGAACAAATCTAAGTGTTCTTTCTGCGGCAAGCCCGGACATCGACTCATCGATTGTGACGAAATGAAAACTTCACGTTCAGCGCTTAGGGACCGCAGCAGTGGAGCAGATTTAATGCGAATATTGGAGGATCGTGGAGTGAATTTTTCAAACCACGAACGGACTCTACCAGGGAAAATCGCCGAGGGAAATAAAATCTCCGTGACACAAGACCCTGCTGGACCCGGACAACTCCAAAAAGGCCATGTAAAAAGTAAGCACCCCTTCAGAATATCATACAAGGATGCTTTACTTGGAAAATATTCCCTTGGGTCTACGGCCTTTGTGAAATCACGAGAGAGGCTCCAGAAGAAAAAGAATGTACCGGTACGACAACTACAGCAGCTGCGCATGGGGAACCAACAACGGAGCATGGAAGATCGACCTTCCAATGACGACATCATCCTCTCTCTGAAAAACCAGCCCACGTCGACCAACCGGTCCCCACGGAAGAAATCGGTGGCGCTGAAGCAGCTCAAGAGGGAGCTCGAGGTCAACATGAAGCTGCGACGACCTCAAACCTCCTCTACAGATGCATCTGCAACATCTGAAACATCTACGGTATCTACCCCATCTATGAATTCTACTACGAGCTCGAGAACCACGTCATCGACGACAACAAAAAATCATGGCAATAGGGAACGGCAGGACCGGCCATCTGCCACCCCAGGAGAAAACACAGAGCTATGGGAAATGCCATATGATCTAATCAACGAGACGATCAACGGGTACAACGAGCAACGCCAACCACTTTTGCTCGATGTGATCTGCAATGGACGACGCCTCCAAGCACTCGTGGACAGCGGAGCATCCCATTCAGTATGCGACAAAGCAACCCTCGAACACATCAATGAGAAGTACACGCCTTCAAACTTCACAGCTACGATGGTTGACGGAAGCAAATTACAAGTCTACGGCGAAGCAGCGTTACACCTGCAGATGGGTCCTCTTCGCTGGAAACCGACCCTACCCGTCACCAACATCAAAGGGCTAGACTTGATTCTTGGGAGAGATTTTCTGAAGAAGTTCAACCCCGAGATCAACTGGGTCACCCGCACGACGAGTATTTACAATCAAGACAGAAGAGTTCCTCTTCCGAATTGGAGCGACACGGGAGATATTCCGGAGGAGACTCTCGCACGCTTCGAGAAAGACGTGAAGCGAACCATGGCAGGGTTTGTTGCACTGGTTACCAACGAGGACGAAGGAGAGAGAAAAACGATCGAGCTTCCACCATCAATCCAGAAACTTCTAGAAGAGTTCGAAGACGTTCTCCCTGACGACCTTCCAGACCAGTCGCCGCCATACCGAACCCACTAGCAAGAGATCATCGAAGAACCTGGTTCAAAACCGACCTTCCGAGCACCATATCGACTCAGCCCTATCGAGTTGGCCGACATGAAGAAGCAGATCGAGTACCTTCTGGACAAAGGACTCATTCGACCATCAACATCACCATACGGTGCACCAGTGCTTTTCACACCAAAACCTGACGGAAGCTTATGCATGTGCATCGACTACCGAGCCCTCAACAAGCAGACGATCAAGAACAAGTATCCGATTCCACGGATCGACGATCTACTTGACCAGCTTTGTGGAGCCACAATATTCTTAAAACTCGATTTGAGATCGGGATATTGGCAGATCCGGATAACGGATAACTCCATCCATAAGACAACGTTTCGGACACGATACGGATCCTACGAGTACCTCGTCATACCGTTCGGACTCACCAACGCACCCGCTACATTCCAGGCCGAAATGAACCATATTCTAAGGCCTCTACTCAACGAATGCGTGGTGGTGTACCTGGACGACATCCTGATCTACTCGAGGGACATGAAGCAGCACATCGAACACCTACGACGCGTCTTCGAGATACTTCGACGTGAGAAGTTCTAGGTTAAGCTATCCAAGAGCGAGTTTGCCTTGAAGAAAGTTCAGTTCCTTGGACACATGGTGAGCGCTCAAGGAGTCCATGTCGACCCCAAGAAGATCAAAGCCGTACGTATGTGGAAGACACCGGAGAACGTGAAGGAACTTCAGCAACACCTCTCACCAATCTACTGAAGAAGAATACACCGTTCAAGTGGGAGGATGTGCACCAGCAAGCCATGGAGCAGTTGAAGACCGCACTCACGTCCGCACCCGTCCTGATCCTGCCAGATCCAGAAAAAGACTACGTCATCGAAGCTGACGCTAGCGACCAAGCAGTGCAGTCTTGATGCAAGACCAAGGGAAAGAACTACAACCAATCGCTTACCTCAACAAGAAATTGCACGGGGCAGAACTCAACTACCCGATTCACGACAAAGAGGCCTTAGCGATCATCACCGCATTCAAGACATGGCGATGCTACCTCGAAGGGAGAAAGACCACGGTCTACACTGACCATTGCAGCCTGAAGTACCTAAAGACGCAGCCGACCCTCTCTAGAAGACAAGTCAGGTGGATTGACTTCCTCGAGACGCACTTCGACTACGACATCGTGTACAAGCCGGGACACAAGAATAAGGCAGACGCATTGAGCCGGCCTGGACACGTTGCCGCCATACAGATTGAGGGGATGAATCCGCTACTCAAGGGACTCTTCACGCACGGGTATACCATCGACCCCGAGATTCCCTTAGCAGAGAAAAAGAAATTGTTGCAGTGGGAACACGACGTCGCACTACGCAAAGGATCAACAAAGATATGGGTACCCAACTACCCGCCTCTTCGGCAGTTGCTTCTCGAAGAATTCCATGACGTGCTCTACGCTGGACACTTCGGGAGTAACAAGACTCTTGCCGGGATTGCGAAAGTCTACTACTGGCCTCACATGGCAAACGACGTGCAAAAGTTTGTCACTTCGTGCGACACGTGCCAGCGGATGAAAAGCAGTAAGCAGAAGAAAGCAGGACTTCTTCAGCCTTTACCCGTCCCGGAACAGCCTTGGCAAGTGGTCAGCTTGGATTTCATCACCGGTTTACCACCTACCAATGCGGGGCATGACGCCATCCTGGTCGTCATCGACAAATTCTCAAAGATGGGACACTTCATTCCGACACATACAACCGCACGCACGGAGGAAACGGCACAGCTATTCCTCAAACACATCATCTCACAGCACGGGATCCCAACAACCCTCATATCCGGCAGGGACCCCAAGTTTACTAGCAGGTTCTGGAAAGAGCTCATGTCGCTCATGGGGACACGTCTAGCAATGTCATCTGCATATCATCCCCAGACCGATGGGTAGACAGAGCGCTTGAACCAAATTGTGGAACAACTCTTGCGCGCAGCGTGCAAGGACGACATTAACAAGTGGGACTTGCACTTGCCGGTGTTGGAGTTCGCCTACAATAATGCGAAGCATGCCGCAACAGGAGAGACCCCATTTTTCCTCTGTTACGGACGACATCCACTAACTCCACAACAGCCGACAGTACCTGCAACTGTCCAACCCGCG